TATTCATCAGGGACACAGATGAGAAAAAGTGAGACTAGTAGAATCCCACTTGCCAGATCTTTAAACCTAAATTTTACAATTAGAATCTCAGTTTGTGATCTTGTCATCAACAGATAGAACTGCTTCTGTCTTCGGGTTTGGTAAAAAAAGAAAGGAAGAAAGAAAGAAAGAAAGAAAAAAAAAGTACCAGAAAAATTTCTGTGTGTTAAAACTTTGTTTCTGTTAAGTTGCTAAATAGTATATCTAACCCAACATTTTAACTCTGGAAATCTACTCAGCTAAGCAATTTTAACCAAATAATAATGCCAGGAAATTAAATCTCACCATAACTATGAGAAGGTATTTTTATACTTTTCAATATTAAGAGCTGCCCTCTAATCTACATGTACTTTTATTGTAATTGATAACTATAATTATTGTTGATATCAGCATAACTATCAAAATACAAAAGCCAAAAGAATCAGAGGAAACATTTTGCTATTAAATTTAAATATTCAAGTTTCATTTAATATTTCACTTAAATTCATTTCATTTTAGTATCTTTGAAGTTTTTTAAATATCCTCAGTGCCAAAAGGAGGCAAGAGATTTATATATCCATACAAATATATAAACAAACAACTCAAGCCCTCTGAAGTAACTTGCCAAAGAGAAAGAATCTATTTGCATAGGAAAACCCACCAAATCAGAATCTGCAATGAGATTTTCATCTTTGACCCTGTTTTTGATTTTCAAAACCAAAATCTTGAGGCCACTGTAAGCTGTATAGTGATGGATAAACAAGGAGACATTCTCTTGCTATTTCCACAGGTTTCATCAGCTTGTTTCTGTGACTCATAATGGCTTCCTGAAAAAAAACCTCTCATTTTCCTACCATGTATTCTCAACTGGTCTCATATATTTACCAGTTAACTCATTCCCCAAATAAAATTATGAGTATTCTTCAAAAAGAGTTTGGTCCAAATTGTCCAGACGAATTGTTTAGAAGGATATTCTGAAGATTAAAGAAAAAAAAACCAACAAATATTAATCGCACAAAAGTTTTGTTAAGTATTACTGGAAAAGAATTCATGGAAAACAATTTAAAAACCATTTATCAAAATGGTATCTTATAAGAACACCAAAAACTTCCTAAAGATACTGATTAAGTCCTCTTTCCAGCCCTGTGTTAAGCAGTGGAGGCTCCATTATATCCAAGAAGACAGTGTTATTAGTGGTAATAAACTTCTCAGCTTGGGACCCAGATAACCTAGAATCTTCTCCAGCCTCTGCCACTACAGTATGTTTGGGTTATTCTCCACTTATATAAAATGAAAGTGTAAGTGTTCATGCAAGTTTCTTTTGATTATAGAATTCCATGATTCTAATAGAAGTTGGGACTTAATCATTCACTCAGAAAATATGTATTGAACATCTGTTAAATGCTGGGCAACATATCATCTAAATGAGGGGGTCTTTCTATTATGCTCCCCAAGTCCCCTGTGAATACATCTATCATGTTACTTGACACTCTATTGGAATTAAGGTTTACCTAATCCGATTCCTCCTCTGACTATATGTTATTTTCGCCAATGAGTAGCAGAATTCTTGGCACACAGTAGGTGTTCAAAAAGCATTTGGCGAATGAACAAAAGGGAGCTCTTTATATGCAAAGTTGGGCATCCCAGAGTGAGGACCAGAATGAGAAGTATCAGACAGAAATCCAGTAATATTTCATTAAAACAATTGTGTGATTACATTATAGCTTACTTAGGAATTTCTGAGCCATCTGCAGACCCTGATTGCACTAAGAGCCAAGTACTAAGATCAGCTTCTCTCTAGTGCTAAGCACAAACATATCCTTAGTCTCAAGTTTAACATACTAAGCCACTTACTCTGGATCCCTTCAGTTGCCTCTCCTGATCTGCTCTCCACCTTTTCCCACCCTGCTTGGTACCCTGAGAGGCCAATCTATATGAAGTGCCTCAGTTGGGTTTCAGTGTCCTCTGGCTCTGGTTGGGATTGGCCACTGGGAAGTACTAGCACACTGTGTAAATGGAGAACAACAAGTTGGGATATTTATTTTCTGTCTTCAGGGCAACCACAGGCTGTTGTGTCCCTTGACCAAACGTCACAGTTCTTGTCAGGCATCCCTCCATGCATATTGTGTGTGTGTGTCTGTGTACATGTGTGTGTGCATGTGTCTGCCTCTGTCTCTGTCTCTCTGGGTTCCCTGCCCCTTTAGTCAGAGACAGTAGCAGTGCCCCATTGTTACTAGTCCTAGGGCTCTACACTCTCCTTTTTGTTTTTCCCACATCCTGGCTTGGTTCATGCTGTGAGTGATAACTGCCCAAGTATTATGAAGAGTAAATGATCTATCACCACCAAACACGAAAGGATACTAATAAATACTAGTGTCCCTTCTCTTCCCTGTTACAATTTTTATACCCCCTATAATGGCTATCAATAGTGCCTTTAACATAATAGCTACTTGTTAAATATTTATTGAATGAGTAAAAAAGTTTTCAAAGACACTTCTGATTCAGATACATGGAAATTAATATGTATTAATCTAGACTCTCAGATGTTAAATTTAGAGAAGATTTTAATTCCAGTAATTGAGGATAATAGGTAGTTCTGCTTTATAAATTTACATTCTCTCTTCTCTCATTCTTCAACTGAAACAACAATTGACCTGCTAGAATTATGACAACCTCAGGAAACAGTACCAAGGAACGAGGTGACATTCCAGGGGCACGTGTTTTTAACAGACTAAAAGTTGAGTTTACTGGTCTTTTCTACACCTTGGAGGAAAAAGTAATTTTATTTCATGTCGTCTAATTCATATGAGCTGATTTTGCAAGTTCGGCACTTTCTGTCTCCTACACCAACATAGAAATGTAGTTTGAGATCTACTTTATCTTCTTGGATCTCGTCATGTTTGCAACAAAGTCGAATCATCGATAAAGCCAAATCATTACTTACCGTGTATACTGATCGTGCTGATGCACTGTGGCAGGAACTTCTAGTTCTGGTATTGGAGAAAGCACTTTCTTGACTTGAGTCAAGGGCAGCCTCTGCGTGGTCTCTGCTATTTAAGAAGGAGAACTGTTTTAGTCTATAGTCTATAGCAGTATGCAAAAGCAGATACAACATTTTCTAATGTAGTGAGCGAAATATGCCTTCCATCTAGAAAGGATTTGGGCATTTCCACCACTCACTAAATTTCCTACCTACAACTCTGATAACTTTAACCCATTTCTTCCAACTCTATTTCTTTCCTTGCATTCCTCCTTTCTACCACTTCCTAGGCACAAGGCCTGAAGCATAGTTAAGAAGGAACAAAGTAGAGGAAAAAAATTTTAAATACAATGTCATGTAACAAGACAGACATTTTAGTTTGGAAACTGACTTCAACCCTTTCCTTCTATCACATATTGTTGAAATGTGTCCCTAAGAAGAATGTCAATTCCAGAGACAATTTTATCGAGATGCAAAGTTATAAATTAGAGGAATTCTAATCTGTCTTTCTTTACTATGACTATGTGACTTTATCAAATTCTTCCTATATTATCTTTAGCTGACTTCAAGGGCAGAGCTGAAACTTCTTGTCCATGGTATAATGGTATCTCTTTTATTCCATGGAGTCTGGAGTCTTGCTTTTATAGTTTTTATATTAAAACTTGTGGGGTTTGCTTTATAAATGTCTTTACTTTCTATACAAAGCCCTGAACAGGGATGGAAATGAGGTGACCTATAATTTAAAGATAAATTTGGGTAGTTGCTCCTTAAGGAGAGAAATCAAAATGAAGATTTAAGTGTAATCAGGAATACAATGCTTCTTGTCCATAAAGATGATTAAACACTGATATGGGTTACCAAAATAGAAATACTGTTAAATTTTCTCTTGGAATTTTATTCTTTTAATTAGAAAAAAATGTAATGAGGATAACTTATTTTTTGGATTTAATTTTTTGAATACAGAATACATTCACATGATTAAAAATTTTTACACTATGAATGGATATTCAGCGAAACGTCTCCCTCTTACCCCATATCCCAGACAATCACTTCCCACCGCATCACATATTTCCATTCCTTCTCCTCTTCCTTTGCCATAGGCAACCTAGGTTATTGGTTTTTTGTTTATTGATAGATGATGGATGGATAGATAGATAGATAGATAGATAAATAGATAGACATACAGACAGATAGTTTTATACCTTTATACATATGTATATGTTATCTTTGTCATTCTTTACATACTATGGTAGCATACTATACACATATATGCTTAAAGATATGTCTTAGAGATCTTTCCACATAAGCAATTCCTCATTTTTTTTTATAACTTCCTAGTATTCCATAGTATGGATGTATTATCATTTCTTTAAACAGTCTCCTATTTAGATTGTGTCTAATCTTTTGACATTGCAAACACACTAGCAATAAACATTGCATATATGTCATTTCTTTCCCAGGTGAATAAATCTATAGGACAAATTCCTAGAAATAGAATTGTTGGCTCAAAGGGCTTATACATTTGTAACTTTGATATTCTGTTTACAGACATCCAAGTTGATTCTGATACACATTAAAGATTCAGAATGAACTTACCATGCAAATGATTGCTTAGACAATTAGGTTAAAATATCTAAAGAGCTTATTCATTAAACTAAATAATTATTAAAGAAAATTAACAGAGCTATTTTGGTTAGAAAGCCAAACTGCTCACCATTTGCTTATTCATTCAGTTTGCTGATGTTTTATAGTATGGTATAACCATAATTTACTGTAGAAAGCTATTATCTGTCAAAATGATGGCTACTCCAAAGTAACTCTCTAGTGGGGTATTATCTTCTGTTTTTCCTAGTATCCAAAGTCATGTAACTTATATGCTAATAGTAAAACCTCTGGAAAATTTATAAAAAAGCAAAAAGGTAAAATATATGATATTTTAATATCTTCTTCAGAATAGTTAAAACAGGTAGAATTTTTTTTGTTCTACACTGGGAAATAGAGTTTCTTTCGAATTATATTAATTCGCTAACACTAGTTAAAACAGTAGAACAATCAGAAATGTTTTAAAACTTCACAGAAGTCTTTTCATGAATTTGTCAAATCTCTGAACCAAACATTTCTTTGACATTTTTAGGAACCTCAGAAGAGCCAAAAAAATTAAAAAGAACCCCAGTTGGAGTTTTGACCTGGCTGAATCTAGTGAACAGCAGCAGAAACTTTGATTAAAAATAAAACTCCATGCCTTATGTTCTCGAATAAAGCCCCTACCACACTGCCCGTGACAATGTCCAGGTTGCCCTCTGATAATTTTTTTAAAAGATTTCTAACACTTTTCAAAAGTGCTTTATACCTATAACATCTGGCATCTAACTTCAATTTATTCTTCCAAAGTAATTTTTGATTCCCACAGAGTAACAGAAACTTGCAAGGTGTTGTCTTCACTTTGTTCCTGGTAGTTTTCATGTCAAAGACGAGATACATCTCCTGCAGGAAAGACACGTCTAAAGTGTCCTCATCCTACTAGGCTCTCTTGGCTGCTAAGGGAATTTACTCCATCAATTTTTTATACTCTTATCTCCAAAACTATTTGTTCAACTAAATTTTACTTGGTTATTACATTGGAAAGCCCAAACAGCTAAAAACGAAACAAAACAAGAAGTAGTAACCAGTGTTAGGTGTCCATATTATATAGGACCCTCTGTGACTTCTACTTCCCCAATAGTGAATGTATCCAATTTTGCTGTAATTGATTATTTATCCTCCTTTTTGTGTACAGAGATTATATTTTATGCACAGTTATAATTCCTAGAACCCACCTTGGAGCATGACACCTAATAGGTACTCGGTAAATACGTGTTGAATGACTGAAAGAATGTCATTTAATTTCTTTGTGCATCATTTTTCTTAACAAAAGGGTGTGGGAAGAAGCACTACAAGTTAACTGGGGTGCCATCTAGGAATTTGGGGGAAGAAAAATAAGTGACCTCTGAGCGTTAATCAATAAAACCAACCCATAATCGGAGTGGAAACATGAAAAGTCATCTTCATAAATAATCCCCAGGCCAAAGCCTATTAAATGTTAAATGAGCCTATCAAGCTACTCCTAAAATGGGGAGGAAGGCCTCTCAAGTTATTGAAGAAAAACCTCTCAAGTTAGCAGAAGAATCCATTTTAAGATCTAACAAACAATACTTGGCTATGATCTGACATCCTGCTGTGGTTCTAGCTAAGGAGAGAGAACCACATGTGTTTGCTGTCAAAGTTTTTTGGTCCATATTTCTCTCAACTGCATTACTCTTTGTGAATTAATACATTAGTCTTCTGGTTATATAAACCTGTTGGTGTGAGCTGGATTATGCAATGGATCATTCTTGGTGTGCTGCCATTGCAGGAAGCTGAACCCACAGGCCTGAAAGAAAACATTAGGCCAGGTAAATTCACCTACGTGAGGCACATGTGTGGCCTTGTGGGCAACAGCATCCAGGCAGCCCCAGATGGCAGCTTCCTGTCCTCACCCCACATGTGCCGTATAAAAGTTCAGCAGTGGGTAATGACACCTGAACTACTGAGATCATTTCCTTATGACTTCAGCAAAGCTAGTGGGTGCCTTGAGGCTAAAAGGAAGAAAATCAAGGTAAGGGTAAAATGAGGTAATAAAGGTGTATTTTGATATACTGTGAAAAATAGAAAGCACTATTAAGTACAAAACAGGATGTTTTTACCAGCATATTTTAAGCCCACTCAAGGAGTATGCTCAGAATTTAGTTGGACCCACATCTGTGCTCAGCAGGGGAAGGCTATGGATAGCTAACCTTGGAGGTGATGACCTCAGTGCATCCTTCTTCTCCTTCATACTTTTGGGAGAAAAAGAAAAAGAAAGTGGTCCCCAACCAATTTGGCACCAGAGAACCGGTGCTTCTATGATTATTTAATGCCTAATGATCTGAGGTGGCGCTGAGGCGATGATGCTAGCGCTGAGGAGCGGCTGCAAATACAGATGAGACTTCGCTCGCTTGCCCACTGCTCACTTCCTGATGTTGGTTCCCAACAGGCCACAGACTGGTACCGGTTCGTGGCCCCAGGGGTTGGGGACCCCTGCTTTGGAAGATTCAGCTATGACTCTTTATGGAAACAATGGCAAGAAGTGTCTAAACTTACCTACAAAGTACTTGTTTTTTTTTCATAAGAGCTTCTCCAAAAAAGGAAGAAATTCAAGTTCATCTTCACAGATTACAGTGTAAGATAGATGTAGAAAATTTCAGATGATTTGGTGATTCTTATTTAATTCTCTAATCTGGCTTCAAAGACCTTCCATTTGTAATGATTTCTTCGTATTGTCGTAGCAATGCAGAAATTCAGTATTGCTATACATCATTCTAACATCTTTATCACATAAAAATATTGGCACTTTTATACAAGCCCAAGATAGCTAGAAGCCTTTTAGGGATAATAGAGCCAATTGTGGTAGCTTAAAATAGATTTCCATTATTCAAGGTGCCAACTCCCTACTATATTCAAAGCTCCATCTGTTATTGTTAACAGTGATCCCCAAACTACTCCTCTGCTCCCAATCTGACCAATGTAAAAATCAAATGAAGATGGAAAAATAAATGACTGCAAAATTATCTAGATTTAACAGCTAAAGTGAAAAACACCCTCCTTCAAAAGACAGTTGTCAATATTCTGAGCCATTGACTTAGTTTCCAGTTTATTCACACTGCAGATATTTTTAATACTCCAAGGAATGAATATTAAGGAATTTCTTTAATTTCCTTTTAAAGGAAAGGAATTTTGCTTTTCTTATTTTGCATTATCAAGAGTTATGATTTGGGGGGGAACATATTTAAAAGATCTTTGTAGACTGTGGCAGTCATTCTTTCAACATAGTCGTTGTAGAGTCATGCTTAGTTGATAAATAGTTACTGGGCACTTACTAAATGCTCTTATACGCTTGATGCTATGATCTGGGAATATAGTGATGAGTATAATCAGAGTATCCCTACCTCAATGAGCTACCTGGGAGACATATCAATCAAATAATAATAAAAGTATTAAATAGCAATAGTAATAATTGCCCCAAAGAGAGATTTGTGGGGCTCTGAGGATATGCACTGAGGGAAGTCGACCTCTTCTGGGAGGTCCAATATAAGTTCCCTGTGGAGGTGTTAGTTAGACCAAGATCAGAAGGCAGGGTTGGAGTTTAGCAGACAAAGGCAAGGTGAGAGGAGGGGAGGTTTTCGAGAGGTGGCACAGGAGGCAGGATGGTTCAGGCAGGGAGAGTCTGTGCAAATACAGAGAAAATGTTTATCTGCATATGTTGTGTCATCAATTATTTCAGACCTGAAGTAAATGGCCATCACATAAAGGCATTCAATGAATGAATAGAATAAATCACCCTATTCTGCCTATAGATTCTTCACACTTACGAATTTCTTCCTTCATACAGAGTCACCCTCTGCATTTTGACCTATTCTGTAACCAAGCAGATGGCTATAAGTTTTATGAACTCAAATCTGTATTTTAAGTCATAAATATTATAGTCAGAAAGTAAAAATTAAATTTTCATGTTATCTTGCTTGGTTGCTATCCATCTGGCACCAGTAATTTATCTTCTCTTTTGCAGGAAATTGAAACCCACTTAGTCTTCATTATACTGGCCATAAACATGTCGCAGATTACAATTTTACACTGCCACTAGTTTTATTTTGGGGTAATACATATTACTGGGTCATCCACTTTTGACATGCAGAAATTCTCTTTCACAATAAAATTCCATTTTTCTTTGCTTCATAGTCGCTACGAACTCACCCACATTAACAGCATCAGCTGAAATGTTACTTTGCAGATGACTCACATTGTCTCACAGAAGCTTCTACAGCCTTATAGAGAAAATGTCTCATTTCTCTTTCCAGTATTAGATGTTAAAGGAGCATAAAGAGTTTTGATCTGTGGCTTGAACCAGCAGAGGTAAGCTCCCCTGTTCACCATTGCCATCGATATGCTAGAAAGTGCATTCGCTGGACAGAATGAGTTTGAGCTCTGACTCTGCTAGGGATCAGAATGGACCTGTGGGTCCATTATTTAAACTCTCGGAGCTTTAGTTTCCTCATCAGGAAAAAAGTGAGGTTTCTATGAAATAAAATGATGTGTGTGAAAGTACTGTGCATATGGAAGTTACTTAATGAGTTTTTATAGTTTAATTAGTTTCCCTTCTCCCAAGGCGACTGGGGGTAGAAGCTCTTTAACTGTGATATCAGCTCTGTGAAGGCAGGGACTATTCTGTAGTACATGCCACTGTGTCATCCAGGCTTGACATAACTGCTGTTGAGTTACTGATCAGTAGATTTTGGTTGAATATTTGAAGGTGAAAAATTTCAAGTTTAAAAAATTTCAGTAGTTTTAATGGACATAGAGGTGAGAGATGAAATGATACCTTTAATGGACCCATGCAGTGAGAACATGTGGAAGCCCTAATCCCAGAAACCTGGTATTACAGAGATTTGTTTATTGACTCTCCAGCATATGGACATCTCAGGAGTATTTTCAAGTATTCAGGAAGCCAGAAGGGCAGATATTTCCACTCTACTGCTTCCTGGCACCCAGAGTACAAATCTGTGGCCTGCACTCAGTTAGTCAGATACTCTCCCTTGGGACTTGCCATCCTGGGCATCGATGCAAAACAGCAACGTGGTCTAAGGGTAGCTGTGGCAGCCCAGGGGCAGCGTCCAGTGGTGGTGACATCAGCGAAGGCATTCTCACCAAACCAACCTTGTGGTAAATCTTTGGCTGTATTTTTAGTTGCCTGGCCTCTCTTAACTATTTATTTTCCAAGCTCAGATTCCCTAACCTTCCTGCTGCTTCCACGGGTTCCCTTTTGGTTTTCCAATAAATTTTCTTTCTGCCAAGTCAGCCACATTGGTTTCTATTGTTTGCATCCAGTGATTCAGGTCCTCATTTACTGCTTCTGCCCCTGGCCTTGGTCTCCCAGCGTGGCAAATTCATTAAGCACTTTTTCTAAGGGTATGTTTCAAAGTTACTTTTGTATAATTCTCAAAATCTCTTCTTCAAGATGCTCAGCGTTTTTCATTATTCTTCAATATCCTTAGCAATTCTATGAAATGTGTTATATGTTCTTTAAGGAAATAGAATTATATTCTCTCTGATCACCCTTTGTCTCTTTGTTTGCTTCACCTTTCCCAGACCCCAAGATTCATTTCTTGCTCATCTGCTCTTTCTACTCTATACTCATTTCCCCTCAGGGTTTGTGTGACTTAATAAGCTTTTATCGTGCATGAACTACGTGCCAGATATTATGCTGGGACAAGATTCCAAAGGTGAGTAAGACAGAATCATCGCCTGTGTGCAGATAATAGTCGAATGAATAAAATGTAAAGTAGATGAATGGCAAGACAGGCAACAAAAGCCACCGCGCTTCTCAAAGCAAGGAAGAAAATATTAAACTTATAAAAGCTTGAGATTTGATTCTGCCTGACATCTCCTACAGCAATGAGATTCATTTATTCCATCAGTGTTTCCTGTGCCCTCAGTACATGCCAGGCCCTGTGCAGTGCCAGGGTCTTGATCATCTCCCTTTATTTCTCTCTAGTCTTTTTGAGGGTGTGAGTCTATCCATGTCTCTGTGTGTACGTGAGTGACAATACTTACTTTGTAATACATGAACGACTGGAGAGACGTTCTGGCATGTACAGTCAGAGCCGGCAGCAAGCTGTTCTGCTGAATGTGGCTACAGTCACTGCTCTCTTTGAAAGACATTTTTTTCAGTCGTGTTACTGCTTCTCCAGAGAACCATGCTGGCACATTTTTTCCTGCATTCTCAACTGCTGCCTATAACCCATCATTACAAAGAGAGGCCTAAAAAAACGGCACTCGGGGGAGATATTATTTCCTTTCCATTTCTCTCTCAGAAAGAAAAACTTATATTGGGATGGGGGAAAAAATCACTTTTAGGTTAAAGAAATATAAATAACAAGAAAGAAGCTGCTTCTTTCCCCCTTTAAGAGGCTAAGCCTCAAAAAAGACTCTTGGTTTTTAAAAAAAGGCCACCTCCCCCACCCCCTTGGCCTGCTCTAAACATTAATATTATATACCAGGTAATAAAGCTGGGGGTGGGGGGTGGTTAGTGAGTGCTGTGAAAGGGAAAAGGACAGCTGTGGCAGGTTTCTCTGGGGGATGAAAATCACAGGCTCATAAATACGATGTGTGAGGTTAGCCCGGTGGTTAGCTAGAACTTTAAATTTGCGATTCTCCTGATTATCTGGGTTGACAGGGGAGCTATTGACTTTTTCTCAGATAAGGCTTCAGTGCTCAAAATTATGACTTGAAAAGAGAAATGATTGGGATTCCTAAGACAACCAAAAGCCCCTCAGAGCCAGGTTAAATCATTCCTGGGTATGAATGTCAGGCATGTGTACTGGAGAAGAGGAAAGACCAGGGGAAACTCCGTTTTCTCTCTTTAAAGATTAATTTTGCCGCTTGAAACAACCCTGTTATTTTTATTTCATTAATCAAACAAAATAGTCATTGATCGCCCAGAATTTCCATCAACTTTCCCCACTTTTAGCTGGTGTCCAATGACTATTTAGCTAATGCTTATTATTACCCATAGGTTAGTAACTTTACTGCTAGTGATGAGAGGAGAAACTCTAGTTTTTTTTTAAGGGAGCTTTTAAGTGCACCCAATCCAAGTTTTCCTCAAGCTAGGGGGCTGAATACCTGCTAATTGAAATAGCTAAAAAAAAAAAAGCCTGGGGAGAATAGTCCACAGTGAAATGCCTTTCAAATCTCCATGTGGCTACGGACACAGCTGCAGTGAAGGGCTCAGGGTTTGTTCAGTTTCCTTTCTTTTTTGAAAATGGTTTACACACCAGACATGAAGCTTCCATATATAACTTCTCACAAAGTACAAAATAGCCTGCTCTCTGGCTGTGCATAAGCAGCTGTAGTAATATCACACATAATTCTGTAGTTTTCAAAGACTCAAGAATATTATTTCTCCCTGATGAAGAATAAGCCTTTGCCCATGTCATATTCTCCATCTCTTTCTTTTTCATATGATTTGACAGCCTGAATTCAGAAGGAGGCTTCACAATTAGAAGAAGGAGATGGAACCACAGCATCTGTGCTAACAGCCTCCTTGCTACTTGAATTAAGATTCCCTTATTCCATTTCTATTTCTTGGGAGAGGACAGGGGACTTTTTAATTGGGGCTATTAGAAGTTCTCTTTACACAATGACACCCTCTGCTAAGTGAAGGCTCCAGCAAAAGCCGTGCCCACTCTGCAATTACTTCTTGCAATTCTGAGGAATAATGGTATCTTGTCTCATTTAAAAATAAATCTGAGGCTTATTCCTTATTGCTTTTCCTCCTCTGCCTACTCACATGAATGTCTCCTTGGCAATTAAGCAAACTTTCCATTATTTAAGGGGGTAGTTTTGATCGTAACTGTCCTCTGATATGATTTGCCCATAGCTCCTTTCTTCCAGATACAAGGCTAATTTAAATGAGCTCAGATATTATGATCTCGAGTTTATACTGCAATGATGAAGCTTTGGAATTTCCTAAGCAGTGTTCCGTTTGCATGTCACCGAGCTCACCTGAAATAACCCGCACATTCAACGTTTGAAGTTTCTCAGAATCACTTCCTCTTAAGAGAACAGATGAAGGTTTGTATTTATGACCTATTCCAAGAAAAGAAATTAAATATTAAGATGAAAAACAAGCACATTCTTAATATGTACTCCCCATATTGGTTCAAAGGATTACCAAAGAAAAAGGGCCATTCACAACAGGGCCTGAAGTAACAAAATATGAAGTTATTTTCCATTAACAAATGCAGGTTCTTTCTAAAACCAGTGGTCTCTCCATTGTACCATCTCCTCTGATGAAAAACCTGGCTCTTATGTACAGAATATTATATTTAGATTATACACATAGATATGATATACAGAATATGTAATGTTATTTAATATTTAATAATAATAAATGTCCTAAATGATGTGACATTTTTCATTACTTTATATGCTTAGATTTGTAAGGCAAGACTTTGAAAGCCTCTAGGCCTGTCATTTGGGTTGATGTTCATAAGTAACTTAGTGTCACTCCCCACTATTCATCTCTTTCTAGACATTTTCCATCTGGTTTCTCTCTCTCTCTTTCCTAATGTGTAATTATATGAAAAATGAATCAAGAAACTCAAAACTATGCACTATTTGCAAATAACATGCATTTACTTAAAATAATATAATTTTCAAAACTAGAAAGACCTTGCATCTTTTTATTAGTTATATAACTGGAATAAACACATAACACTTAATTTCTCTGAAGCTCAGGGTTTTTTAATCTATAAAATAAAAATAATAGCACATATCTTGTTTATATACTTTGAGAATTTAGTAAAAATCTTGTGACAATGGTTATTCTATAAATATACAACATTATGATTATTAACCAAATGCTTTTGGGGTCTCAAATACCAAGGTATCAATGACGATACTTGATATGCAACTTCTCTCAGAAATTTCTGCAATAAATACTTAATCAAAAGAATTAATGGCTCAGACCTAGAGGCAACCCCTTGTTTTGCCTATTGAAACGACTAAGACAGCCTTACCTGGTAAAGAGCATAAGAGCCCTGGGAAACGACACAAGCGGCACAATACTACTCTCCTTTATTGAGAATTACTATTCACTAGACACTGGGGTAAATTTCTAGTGAATAGTAATTCTCAATAAAGGAGAGTCTCTTTAGTTCAATCCTTACCTCAACACTGTGTGGTGATGGTGATTAGCCTTGTTTTACAGAGGTAAAAAGGAACACTCGGATACAGTGAGCGACTTGCTCAAAGTCACGTAACTAGTAAGCGGTAGTACTAGGATTTGATACATTTTCTCTTGTCTTTAAGACACAAACTACTTTCCATCAGGCCTGATACTCAGCCAGTGTACTCCTGGGTACACACCAGCAGGGCCGATGTATGCATGGGTCTACCAGTAGGACCACACCAGTAGTAAACGATCAGGGCCCATCCTGACAGGTGGGTATCGCATTAGTTATTAAATATTTTATCATCATCTCTATTGTCCTGATTTCTAAGTACACATTTTAGCTCAGCCCAACCAAAAATCTACTGACACACTCACACTTATTAAAGATTGGCTCCCACTCACACTCACTGCCAACAGCCAATCCGATCAAGGTCCCCAACTCTAAAATTCTTCATCTCCACTCCCCATTCTTCTACCTCTCTTCTGCCTTCACTTCCACTATAGCCCCTGCTCAACCTCCAGTCCATCAACTACTTCCAGTTCACCCATTCTTTCTCCCCTCCTACTCACTTGTCTGGATAGGAGAAAGACACATGAAGCTCCTTGAATGTTGGCACTGTGTCTTACTTATGCTTATATTCCTAGAATCACTGCTTACACACAATAGGTGCTCAGAAAATGGTAAATTGAACTAAAAAAAGAAATTGAATCTATAGATAAGATTAAGAGTTCCTTGAAACTAAATCGATTATCCCAAATGATATATTTATTTCTCAATACTTACTCTGCCACTTCTGCACTCGCCTATGGCCTTCGAGTATTTTGTGGATAGTGAGGATGAGCAAAAATATAAAAACTGATATTACTAAAACATACCAAGTGATCTTCATGGAACAAAAGAAATCTGCAAAGAAAAAATACTATAAAAATACAATAATATGATGCAATAGATAAGAGGCTATGAGGTGGTGTAGCTGGCTTCTACTACATATTCTGCCCTTAACTAAAAAGCTGAATATATAGCATCACTGTTACAGGGTCACTTGCTCTCCTAAATTCTTTCCTGATGTATTAAACGAGAGTATTAAATGAGGAAACTTTATCAGGTGGCTTCCAGAGATCCACTTAGTTCCAAAATTCTAGGATTAATTTCACTTAACAGGCAAAGTTCATGTTAGTGCCGCTATCATTTCTATCACTAAGTTTAAGACCACAACATAGCAGAGTACCAGAATCAGAGCCATTTCTAATCAATAATTTTGGCCCTAGACCAAGCAGCCAAAAATTATAGTCTCAAATCAACAAAGATACACTGAGCATAAGGAGGATGGAGAAGAAAGGGAAAGACAGACACAGAGAAAGGGCTGGACTGAGGCATATAAAAGGCCAGGGAAGATGAATAATTAGACCCATTTTCATCAGGGTCTCTCATGACAATGATCAGATCAAGCACATACCTTAATGAGACATATAGTTACCCTAGACTAAATTTAACAAGGATACAGGTAAAAATGTTCATTCAAAAAACAGTGAGACAACAAGGGAAGGGCAGTCACCATGCAGCGATAGCTTAGCACGGTCTCCTTGGGTCCCATAAAGACACAGTGGCCAGTTGACCCAAGCATCAGTGACTTAAAAAAGAGTGACCTTGTCATGTCCAGGACACAAGTGTCTGACTTTCTAAGCCACCTTCTGTATCCTCTTGCACACAAAATACAGCCAGTACTAACTCAATTTAGTAAGACATGTAATTTGTTTATACTCTTGGATGACTCCCCTTGTGGAGCTTATGATCTGGGTATCCTTCCCACAGGACCTCCCTCCATGAGCAGATGTACAATAAATAGGTAGACAACATTTATTTAGAGAAGAGGCTCAATGGAAGAAAGGTAAAAGTTGACTGGGATGGTAGCACTCAGACACGCCAATATCATTCCATGCTATTCAGCGGCCAAACTTGCATTTCTCGCTGAAGATAAAAGCATGCAGTTAGCTGGAATAAAATAGTAATTTTTTAATCTCTTACACGTGGCAAAATGGTTATAGTTTTTCTAGGTTACAAGATTATGTATTTGTACACCACCATTATCTTTCTGAATTATGGATGCAAAAAATTAACTATTATTTCACTCTGACTAGAATTTATGGATTTTTCCATTAACACAAAAGTAAATCCTGACTACCTCAAACAGTGTTTGTACAGCAAAGGAAATCATCAACAAAAAAGAAAAGACAACCTACCAAATGGGAGTAGATATTTGCCTATTTTACTTCTGACCAGAATTTATAAAGAACTCATACAACTCAACAAAAAAATTAAAAAATGAGCAGAAGACCTGACTAGGTATTTCTCCAAGGAGAACTTATGGATGGCCAATAGGCATATGAAAAGATGCTCAAGGTCACTGATAATCAGAGAAATGCAAATTAAAACCACAATGAGATATCACCTCACACCTGTCAGATTGGCTGTCATCAATAAATCAAAAACAATAAATGTTTATGAGGACATGGAGAAAAGGGAACCCTCGTACACTTCTGTGGGATTGCAAATTGGTATAGCCACTCTGGAAAACAATTTTCTCGAAAAATTAAAAATTGAACCTAGCAATTGCACTTCTGGGTATTTATCCAAAGAAAATCAAAACACTAGTTTGTAAAAAGATATCTGTACCCCTATGTTCATGGCAGCACTATTCACAATAGCCAAGACATGGAAGCAACCTAAGTGCCCATTAACAGACGATTGGATAAAGAAGTTTGGTACATATATACAATGGAATATTACTCGGCTATTAAAAATATGAAATCTTACCATTTGCAATGACATGGATGGACCTAGAGGGTATTATGCTGAGTGAAATAAGTCAGACAGAGAAAGATAAATAACATATGATTTCACTTATATGTGGAATCTAAGGAACAAACTAAACGAAAACAATCAGATACAGAGAACAAACTGGTGATTGCTAGAGAGGAGGCAGGTTGGGGAACTGGGTATAAAAGGTAAAGGGATGAAGAAGTACATATTAAAAACTACAAAACAGTCACAGGGCTTTAGAGGATAACGTAGGGTGTATAGTCAATATTATAAAAATTTAAAATAAATAAATCCTCTTAAAATCATAATAATGAAAATGCTTATTTTCCTTCATGTTTTAGAAAATATAAAAAGGAAATGGATACACAAACGTACATTGAAATAAATGTGTCTTAGTATCTATAATCCAAACCTCTTTATCTTTCAGATTTCATCATAGTCACTTTCCCTATGTAGCCTTTCAAAAACCTTCCAACTCACTCCTGAACAGGATGGAATTGCCCCCTCTGTTCTGACCTTCTCACATCCTCTTCCAGGCCCCTCATACATACACACACCTTGAAATACCTGCTAATTGCAGAGGCTGTAGGGCCCTGGGAAAATTAATTCACAGGAAAAATTTCTTTGAAGTCATATATTTTACTTTAAGATGCATACGTATTATATATTTGTATTTGCTTTAAAATAAATATAAGATTTTGAAGAGTTGCCTAAAAAAATTAAAGCTTTAGAAAAGCATTCTAAAGCTGTCTGAAATGCTGCCATATGTCTGGAATATCAAAAAGCACAGCAAACTACTTACCATAGCACCTGTCGCACTGAATGCACTTGGTTGATTATTTTATATTCATCCATCCCTTTGTCCCCAGTGCCTGCATACTGCTAGGCATATAGCAGGCGCTCATGAAATGCTTCTCTCGTAAAATGCTCTTCAAGAGTAGGTTTTATGGGTGAAGTGAGGGCAATTACTTAGTAGAAAGGATCAACTGTTATCATTTAAAAGAGGGTGACTAGGAAGTTAATCAGCCTTAAACAGAATTAAAATATGTATAAGTTTTGTCTTTCTGGCTTTTTCCCTTCCCCAGAGTTATCCAGTGACCCAAAGTGCCTAATCTATATCCTACCTATCTTAATCCAGGCCTGGTTCTCATCTCTGAGAGGATGTGTGAAATCAATTAAAAATAAGATTTTAATAACACCACACTGTACATGGATATTTCCATTTAAAAATAAATCACATCCTTTCATTCCCAAGTGTGATAGTATTACTTCAAGCATAACTGGTAGGCATGTTCAAAGTTATTCTGGGACAGAGAGTCTTTCTAATGCCCCTGAAATCACAACCCATAAATGCCTCTTTTGCCTCTAGGTACAGCTGAGCCCCATGAAAAGAACACTTTAAAATAAATAAAAATAAATAAATAAATAAATAAATAAACGGTTAGTACTTGGATGGGAGACCACCTAGGAAGACCAGGTGCAAAATAAATAAAAATAAATAAATAAATAAATAAATAAACAAATAAATAAATAGCTGACATTTCCAGCCATACTATTTCATCAATAAATTTCTTCAACTATTTGACTTTTCAGTGAAGTTAATGTAGTAGCCCTTATTTAATTTTTCTTTTCCCCCTAATTTCCTTAAAAACTTACTTTTTACATCCATTTCTAGGTGCAAAGAAATGTGTATACAATTATGTGGATATTTCATAATTCTACAAGTATGGTTTATAGAGTTTTCCTTGGCTGGGTCTTCCTCCATGATTGGTGACCTTCTAGTGTGGGTTTTTATATTACAAGTAACATTATATTCTTCCAGGTGGTCAACTGTAGGGGCTACAGTGAAGTTAAAATATTGACAAAGTGAATGAAAATCATTTGCCATCACTTCCATTGATCCTCGCATGATAAAAACTGGAAAGAGATTAAGAAAACGTTATTAGCAAAATAGTAATACCTAGTAAGAAAACACATACATTTTAAAAATAAATCTCCTATTTCCTGTACAAAAAAGTAGAAACAAGTGATTAAAGGGCTTACATTTTTTTAAGATTGTGGAAACCAGGTGACAGCAGGTTGAAATAGGATCAGAACATCTCAAAGAAAACACAGACATTTCCCTGGTGACTTGTGGAATAGATTTTATTTTCCAAAATTGTCACAACACTATTTTGCGTCCGACATTACACTGGCTTGCTAAGGCTGCCATCACAAACTGCCATAAAACTGTGTGGCTTAAAAAATAGAAATTTGCCTCGCAGTACTAGAGGCTAAACTTTTGAGATTAAGGTGTTGGTGAGGTTGCTTCTTTCTGCAGGCTACAAGGGTGGGCCCTGTTCCAGACCTCGTGCCTCACTTCTAGGGTTTCCCTGGCCATCTTTGGCGTTTCTTGGCTTGTAGAAGCATCCTCTGATCTCTGCCTTTATCTCTACATGGCATTCTCCCTGCATGCATATTTGTGTCCAAATTTCCTCTTCTCCTGAGGACACCAGTCATATGGGATTACAGCCCATCTTAATGACCTCGTCTTAACTAATTACGTCTGCAACAACCTTATGTCCAAACAATGTCACATCTGAGATACTGGGCGTTAGAACTTTAATGTAATTTAACTCATAACGCACATGTTAACCTAAAATTTTGCCACTGACACCATAAATAGGTGGAGTCTAATATCTTTCCCCTTGAATCTGGGTGGAAGTGTTTGTGACTTGCTTGTAACTCGTTGAATGCAGAAGAAGTTGACACCACACGGTGAGCCAGAAAAGGTGAAGCAATTTCCTCCTAGTTCCTTGGAACATAATATTGGAGTCTTGAACAGCTTTGCAATAGTTCAATAACTTAAGGCCATCATGTTGTAAGGAAACCCAAACCAGCTCAAGTAGAAAGACCACATAGAAAAGCTCTGAGAGAAAAACTGCAGAGAAAGAAATGCCCACCTGCCTTTAGCCGCCCCAGCCCCGCTCTGCTGTAGCTCGTCACTGTTTAGTTCCAATAGTATAAAATGCTCCAAGCCAGAAATGCTCAGTTATGCTCGTTTCGAATCCCCGACCCCCCAAAACAACAATAATAAAATGATTGCTGTTGTTTTAAGCCACTAAATTTGGGGTGATTTGTTACACTGTCATAGCAGTTGGGGTAACTTGTCAATACACTGTTTTCACTTTTCAGGGAAGCAGAGTAGCATCTGTGAGCAACCAACCCTTGAAACACTTTCTAGTTCTTTATTATCATAAGAATATTTCCCTAATTTGCTTTCTGGTGAATTTGACTCAAAATCCTACAATAGTTATTGCACCACTTGAATAAGAATTTACTGAAAAGGTATAAGCAATAAATTTGATGCTTAGGCTTGAGGCCACCAGTACATTTTATAACTATAAGTGAATTTTTTAATCTCTCAATGATCCAGATATATTTGATTTAATTAAACAGTATATATTGATCTCAAAATAAATGCAAGATTAAGTTAGGCACTACAGATAATATGTAGTTATTCTTTTATTTATTCATTCATTCATTAAACAAATTTTTGAGTGCCTAATGTCAGACATTATACTAAGATATAGAAATACACGAGTGAACAAAGCCTTTGTCATCGAGGTTCATTGGATTGTCACACAAGTAAAAAGACAATTCATTCAAAGTGGATAAACGTTAGATGGAAATAGTTACAGATGCCAGATATATCAAGGGTTCAATGACTCCTTGGAGAATCAAAATGTGCTTTTACTATGAGAACCTACAAGTTTATTTAGAAGTTTTTAATTCACTTTTAAAAATTCACTTCAAATTCAATACCTTTGAAGAAAGCATGTTAAATAATCCTTTAATCATAAAATGTATGTGAATTACAGTGGAATTTTGATGTATTTTAAGAACAGATATTTTGTTTTTAATATATCAAAGTAAACTAAGAACGAACAGTATCCCAAAGCCTTGTATGTAAGTCACTCATCAAGAGCCACCCCACTGAGCCTTTCAACGCTACAGAACTTAAAATTGCAATATATTTTTAATATCTTTTTTTAAAAGAATAAGGTCATTTATCCTTAATAAATTTTATTCTCACTTTCCCTTTGCATTTACCTTTTGATGTTTGTTCCTGAGAAATCAATTCTATGTTTCCTTTGGACTCACAGACCAAACATGAGGAGCACATTTTAAATTCACTTGTGATGTCTTGGCAAATCCTGGCGAAGTTTTGAAAGCTGGAGTGATTTAGAAAGATTCCCATCAGAGTCTGAGTTTCCCTTACTGGTTGCAGAAAAGTCATGAGAGAAAAATTTAAGGAGGAGAGTGGATAGGTGAGATTAGGTTGTAAACACACTTCCAGACATGATAGCTCCAACACGTTTCCTATAAAGGGGGGAAAAAAACTTTCTTTACTGCGAAATTTTGAGTTTTAGGCATTCAGATAAATACACAATAAGCTCCCAGTTTTTCTTAGGCATATTTAGTACATTTCAGCTAATTAATGACAAGACTTTGTTTTTACATGACTTAAACAATACTCCATTTAAATATTTCTTTCTAAAATTTGTCAACATTCCCTATTAATTTCTAGGGAACAGAAGTCCTTGTACAGAAGTGCTTGGAAACTCTAGCATTTTAACCATTGTCTCTTCTGGGAAAGTTTTAATGAACAAACTTTAGGTTCTTCTGAATTCATCTTTTCTAAAATAGAGGTTCAAATTAATTTCATGAAATTGACCAGGAAATGGAAAACTTGAACGGTAGCTGTATTAGTTTCTAAGGGCTGCTGTAATAAGTTACTACAACCTTGGTGACTTAAAATGAGGAATTCATTCGCTCACAGTTCTGGAGGCCAGAAGTTCAACACCAGTTTTACTGGTATGAAGTCTAGGAGTCCACAGGCCATGCTCCCTCGAAGACCTTAGAGAAGAATCTGTTCCTTGCCCCTCTTCCAACTGTTGGTGGTTGCTGGCATTCCTTAGCTTGTGGTTGTATCACTCCAGACTCAGCCTCCATGGTTACATTACTTTCTCCTCTGTGTCTCTTGTCTTCTACTCTTCTATCTGTGTCAAATTTCCCTCTACCTCTCTCTTACCAAGACACTTGCAATTGGAGTTAGGGCCTACTAAATAATTTAGGATAACGGCTCCATCTAAAGATCCTTAATCACATCCGTTGAGACTCTTTTTCCTTATAAGGTCATATTTGCAGGTTCTAGAGATTAGCAGCTAATATCTTAGGGTAGCCCTTATTCAGCCTCCCTGAATCTCCCAAGACAAAATTTAACAGAGTGACAGACATGATTTTTATTTTTGTATGAAGACAAATATCAAATATGGAGATGATGATATAATAGAAAGAACACTGAGTTCGAAACAAAAGATAAAGACTCCAGTGCTTTTTCTGTCATTAGCCAATACACTTGGACAATTAATCTCTGTGAGTCTCATTTTCTCGTCAGCAAAACAGAGATAATAATTCTTGATCCTGCTAACCTCATGAGGTTATGTTAGCATCGAGTGGTATATAGAGTACATATGAAAACACTTTTGAAATTTATATAAATTTATATTAACTAAAATGCAAACCCATATTTCAAATTAAAAATTTATCCATCATTTGGGATAGGATTATCTATGATTTTAATTCACACAAATACTTAAAGCTCATGACATAAAAATCAGGAAGCCCTATTTAGCAATAGGTAATTTCTCTTTCAGATATTCTCAGTCTGACAGTCATTTGCTACTATAATAAAATAATTGATATGCTGTGCTCACTTCAGCAGCATATATACCAAAAATATTTGACATGCTCAATTCCACTTTTATATGTCCTTTTTAGACATTTCTAATGTAATCATATAGGACAAAATATATTTTTTTAATTTTCTAAATAATATGAAGCATATTAAAAGAATTACTACTTTTTTTTAGAATGACAACGTCTAGTTATACATCTTGATTCAAACTTAACAGCAAATCAAGCTATTGATTGATATTAAAGCATTTTTTTTACCTGTGGAATTTATATTTCAATAATAATTCCATGAGTGTTTCATTACTAATGATTATTTTTTATTATTTAATAAATTAAAGGCTCATTACCCTCAACATTTGAAATTGCTTCTGTAATAACTCACATGGGATTTCCAGCTACAAACACATTTTATACTTGAATTGCTATACAGGTTTTTTGGAGGAGGGGGTGGTGTTTTACTCAAATACACAATTTTATAATGTCTTAATATATCTATAAAGTTGTAATCAAATAGTAACTAATTTTTTAAAATATTGTCTTCAATCATGATGTTCCTCCCAGGAAGGAGATAGAAATGTACCACCTGATGAAACTCTATAATTTATAGCTATTTTTGTATTACTAAAACACTTGAAATACTTATTTCTCACCATCTTTTTATTTTTCTTACTAGAATTTTTCATCTTATGAAATTTTCAACTTTTTGAATTTATATTTCTATGATATGACCTAGAAGGGAGATAGAGAAGTTTTTACTGTCGATATTGCAGTATTACCCTCTAAGTGACTAACTGGGCTCTCTAGAATTGATGGTATATATTTATATTTGGCTATGAAGTCATCTTATGATGATTTTTAAACCTTAGTTTTAAATAATTCAATTGGAAAAGAAATAAAAGACACATCCTTTCCTAGTACAATTTTAAGAAATAAATGAATTCTACTCAATCATTTTTATTATCAGGTGGGCTATAGTCTCATCTCCATAAACAAATATTTATGATGTTAACTACTGTCATTAATATTGCTGGGAGTCAGACATATAACTCTCACTCCTACAGACTGAAATGCATTTCAGAATACTCCAGTACTAAGGCTGCAGTCTCTCAGGGTAAAGTATTCTATATGTAGAATACTAAACAAAATTAGGAAAATACATTGTCATAGGACAATGCCCAAGTCAATTATTTTTTTCTTTTGAAAGAAAAGCAATGAGTAAGACTAAAGAAACATGAACTATCTTTATTTTCTTTTTTAGCTTTTATAAACTTATATCATATATAAGCATATGTAAAATGTATTGTGCCAGTTAAAGAATAATGAAAATAAACACCATTTATTTATCACACAGATTAAGAAATAGGCTATTACCAACATCTTTAAAGCACATTATCCCTTCCCATCCCTGCCCACTCCTTTCCCAGAGGTTAATTAAGCACTATCATAAATTTTGTGTTTATCACCCCTTTGCTTTACCTTAATCTTTCCAAAATGTTTATATTTCTAAATAACATTGTTTCATTTAGCGTACTTTAGAAATGTATACATATACATGGAATATACTGTATGTATTCATCTATGACTTCCTTTTTTTTCTTAATATGTTTTAGTCATGTTGCTGCATATAGTTGTAGCTAATTACTTATGATATTCATTCGAATGACTTATACCACAATTTCTTCATTCTTCTGACAGAGAACATTTAGGTTGTTTCTATTTTTTGCTATTTGAAATAATGCTGCTATCAACTATAACTCCATACATTGCTGGTGGGAATGTAAAATAGTACCACCATTTTGGAAAATAGATTTTCATTTTCTTTAAGTTAAACATACTTACCATATGACCCAACAATTCTACTCCTGAGAATTTACACAAGAAAGATAAAAATATATATTAACACAAATACCTGTAAATAAATTTTCATGGCAACTTTCCGAATTTACAGTAGCCAAAAACTTGGAACAATCCTTTTAGTCACTTTTTAACTTCCCTGTCTTATGCTTTGACTTCTGTCCCTCACATATGGCCCAATGAAACTTAGACTCTAGGCCACCAGGAATTGGCAGATGTTCTCAAAGTGACCAATTTGTTTGCTGTTGCTTACCTGTCTGGATTTGTAATTTCTTGTCATTTTCCCCCTTTTAGAAGTTTTTTTTTATCGGTTCAACTATGTATTTTTTAAATTTTTAATATGTTTTATTGTACATTTTATATTTTTTTGTGCTAGGAGTATTTTTCAAGGTATGACTGCAAGAACAGAAGTCTCAATTCTCTGTTGACCTTCAAAAATAAATGAGAATTTATTATAAAACCTTCACTGTTTGAAGACAGTGAGGGCTCCAGAAACTACTTTATGTCAAGTCATATTTTCCTAATACTGAGGTTATTCCTCTATTAAGTAGTTGTCAGGGAACTTTAGAAGAAGCATGGATTATTTCAGACAATGAAAATTTGAAATTATTGCTTCAATATATTAAATGTAAACTAGGGCAAATAAGAAAATTTTGCCCCTAGAAACATAGCTAGTACAATCATTTTGGAGAAACATTTAGTGCTTTCTTATAAAATTAAATATACTAAACTATTTCACTGCTAGATAATTACCTGGAAAAATAAACACATATGTTCATACAAAGATTTATACAAGAATATTCATAGCAGCATAATTATAATAGCCCCAAACTAGAAACAGCCCAATGGCTGACTGAGCAAGTGTGGTGTATTTATACAGTGAACTACTTAGCCAATAAAAAGAAAAGTACTTAATAACACAAATGAATCTCAAAAACATTACACTAAGATTTAAAAAGTCAGACCAAAAATAGATCCTGTGTGATGATTCCATTTATATGAAGCATAAGAAGGCACAAAACTAAACTACGGTGGTGCAGGTCGTAAAGTTGCCTTGAGAGTGGGAGAAGAATCAACAGGAACAGGCAGGAGGAAGCTTACTGAGAGTGACGAAAATCTATGCCTTATATGGGATGGTAGTTACATAGGTGCACACAATTGTCAAATTCATGACAGTGAACACTTTCCATTTTATTGAGTGTAAATTATGCCTTTAAAAAACATAGTCAAAAAAATAAAACATAGCCAATTGTTTCTAAAGATCTTTCATCATTATGGAATATTCTGTATCATAATTCAGAAATTTAAAAATATTAGCTACCAGGATAGGAGTTTACAGTTTTGCTGCCTTGTTTGCAGAGACGTTGGCTAATACATGTTGTTTCCCTTTGGTCACAGGTCTGCCTCTGTAACAATTGGCGTAGATCCAAAAGAGTACTAATTTCAGTAGCAAAAACTCAAACAATTACATTTCCATTTGGGGCCCAATAGTTGACACTTCTCTATTAATATTAAGTGGGAAAGGGTTAAAAAATGTCTATTATGTTGTGTGTGGATGATACACCCACAATGTTAGCCATACTGGGAACAAGGAAATCTAGATAGGATATGAATTTATTTATAAGACATTTGGAGAAGACAATTTAAAATATTTTCTGGGGGAAAGGAGCAAAGTTTCAGGTTACTTTTAACTTACGGTAGCAGCACATGAATGGCAGGTTTGGGACAGAAGACAGAGACTGCTGGTTTTACTTGTCAAAACAAAAGATGTAAACACATAATATGAAATTCTCTATGGGAAAAAAATGGTAGGAAAATGACTCAGGGTAAAGAGACATATATCTTTTAAGTGAAAAAAACTGTGAAATAAATTTCACAGGCTGCACAACCTAAAAGTTCTAGGTTTATGATGACATTTTATGTTTCAAAAATGTAAGAGGATGATAATCATGTCTGGCCTGCCTAAATCAAAAGATGGTTGCGAGAATCAGATGAGAAATGCTTCCTTCAAGAATATTTCCTTTTTATTTCCTTTACAATAAAACTCAAATTAACTCACTCAACAAATACTCATTGAGAGCCTCCTAATACGTCAGGTACTGTTCTAAGTGCTCCAAGTATGAACAAAACAGAGAAAAACCTCATTTTCATCTAGCTTACATTCTAGTTGGAGAAATCAGACAACAAAAAAATATACAGAATAAATAAGTAAATTACATAGGTGATAAGTGCTATGAGAAAAAGTAACAGAACAGTGTAAGGAAGAGGAATACTATCATATTAATGTTTTAGAGAAAGTCATTTTTTTAATAAAAACAAAAAAGATATACAGAGAGAGGTTTTATCTACCAATGGAATTAGACAAGCAATTAGAAAGTGGCCCAAGCAAGGGTTGTTGGTATCATAATCTAATAGTTGAGAGAATAAGGCCAGTTCTGCCAAAGTAGCAAAAAAACATTATACTCAGCAGTGTTTTTTGCCAGTGCGTGTAAAAAATATTTGTCCATTAGTAGCCATTTTGAAACTATAAAGATTCAGAGGATTTAGTAAGAAATAAAATCTGATAACAAAATTAATTTATTTATCTAGTTTTATTTCTTCTTTTTGAAGATTTTTAGGATACTCTTGAGAATGATACTTAATCATGTATGAGCTGAAATATTTAATGAATTATTATATGTAAAAATACTTGGTGTAGTACCTAGTAAATGTATAAGAATTTATTAAATTTAAAAAATTTTTAAAGTCATAAAACTGTATCTCAAACCTTACTACTGATTCAGTTTTTAATGAGCCAGTCGATATGAGGAAAATAAAATGCCCATTTTTGAGAACTAGGATAACACTTTCAGGCAAATTAATTGTAGTTACCCTTAATAACACTTTTTTATACTATAGACATAGGTAATGTGCACATACGCTTGTATACTTCAAGATTTATCTTATAGTTCGTAGGTAAAGTTCCTTTATCCTTTGTTTCCTTCAATTGCACTGCTCATTATATTACCATTTCCATCAGAAAGTGTAAAATGGAAGGGGAAACAAAAGCTGGTAAACATAGTTTATGTCAGTTTGGCTCTTAAAAGTAAGTGAAAAAGTCAAAACAGCTACATAAAATTAGGTTTGAGGTGTTTTCATCAGTGCTATTCCTGTCATGTGTCACCTCAAATAATCCGGAATACACTTGTATAACCCATTACAGTTCCTAGTTTCAAGAATTTCTGAGATATTTATATTAGTGCATTTTATTTGAAAATCAATAATAATTGCTTTTCTTAGCATGTGCTTCGTCGAACAAGTAAGAAGTAATATTAGGTGATCATCAGAACTCTGACAGTTATTTCTCTTTGCAACAAAAATGGAAGGACAGGCCTGGGAGCAACTTTTAAATGCCCATCCTACATTTTTACATTGCTATTTTAGTAATTACAATATCATATTTAATTATTTATGAGTCAGTCTTCCCCCTGACTGAAAACTCCTCAAAGGAAGAATCACCTTTCATTTTCATAGCTCTGGGTTCCTAGCATAGGAATACATTATTCATAAGTGAAAGAATAAGTAAATAAAAGATCACTGAAATTAAGTGAGTTAACCAGATCCCTCTTTCTTAAACACTGTAAGTCCAACAAAAGCAGATTGCTAAAGTCTCTTGTTTGGGGCAACCCATATCCTTTAATTGCATTAAGCTCTGAATCAAAAAATATCCATTATCTTTTACATCTCCATTATCTTCATGCAATATAATTGTATCAAATCATTATATTAATTACTGTATCTTAGAATAAGCTGCCTTTTGAATAAACTGAAAGTATTAGAATAAGCTCTCTTGCCAGTGCAAATCCAATGCAAACTCATTAAAACTCCCAAACACTGTTAAAGTTCCTCTTCTTTGGTAAAGTTAGAATAGTTTATACTGTGTAATTATGATAATTGAATATTCCAAGTAATGATTATTCAGAGACTCAGATACATTCTTGATGAAAATGATCCAACACAGTGCTCTATTTTTAACTTGGGACTTCAGAGGGTTTATTATTTTGAAATCAAATCTATTAAACTCCTTGAATACATTATTCCTTATTAAGTTTCCTTTTGAATTCACCTGATGTGTCAAAGACAGTGTATCAGTGAATAATTTATAAGTAAAAGTCATTTATAATATTTATCTTAGAAATTAAAGTGAATAGAACATAGGAAAAAATGGGGTAAAAGACACAAGGAACTGATAGGGAGGGTGAGACTATATAAGGAAATCTCAAGATTAATTTTAGCATGTCTAGAACATTCTTAGCTTATAATCTAAGTAATTTTACCAGGTATTTTATTTTGTGAAATATACTGGTTAACGAGTCAACTCATGTCATAAGGCAACTATTATTGTGATTTAAAAATTACTAAGGAGGGTAAGAAGGAAGTAGAAGAGGGTAAAGGCTGTCAAGTATATGGTGACAAACAGATTTGACTCTGGGTGGTGAACACATGATGCAGTATAGAGATGATGTATTATAGAATTGCACACTTGAAACCTATATAATTTTATTAACCAGTGCCACTCCAATAAATTTAATTTTAAAAAATTACTAAAAAAACCAAAACAATTATGTACCCTTAGTTTAATCAATACAGGACTGTATAAAATGAAATGATATTAACTTATTCCTGGTGATCCATAAACAATTATAAGATAGAAAGCATCATTACACTATTGTATGTATAATACATTATTATTCCACTATTGTATGTGTAAAATATTTTGTCCAGTAATCAATTTTTGTTTAAGGCACTGTGCAAAATTCCTTCTACCACTAAATGACATCCTGATAAGATGGTGGTTTTCAAACATTTTCGTTTGTTGGCCTCAAGGAAGATTCCTTTGAAATAAAATTCCCAAGTAAGTCCATCACTACAAAGAGTCCAAGGAAATATCTATACTGTTCTTGAAGCAAGAAAAAAGAAATGGCTACTTTAAGTTTGTGGTGGCAGTAAAGGTAGTTTGGGGAAGGTTATAATCAGTTATAAAACTAAGAGAACAAAATTATTATCAGTGCTGGTAGTCAGCAGTTCTCATAAATACTAACCAATATTTAGCAAATAGTTTATTAAATCTTTTTTAGGCAGGTTATCTAGTTTTTAATAGATCCAACCTGATTTTTTGAAGGTGCTAGGTATATTTACACGACCTACCTAAGATAACAACTAAATGAACTTACTCTCAGCCCACAATAGCTTATAATTTTAAATAGGTTATCTCTAGTCAATTCTAACTATTTTCTTTATATTTTCACTCAGTGAAATCAAGAATTAAAAATATATGCTTTGATAGTTTAATCTAAGCAACATAATGCCAGAAAAAAGAGATATTTGAAAAATTCAATTGTCCACAAAATTGCACAGTCATGGTATTTATTTATCAAAAATATTTTTATCTGGCTATTTAGCATCATGTATGTGCAACATTAAGTATTCACTGCAATATGTCATCAAATGTGATTAGCAAAGATGTTTTTATCTGGTCACTTAGTATTATTTATATGCAACAATAATTATTGCAGCAAGTCATCAAACATAAGATTTTCCCTAATTTTAATCAAATTCATATAACTTTTTAATGATAGAATACAGCATTTTTTTTAGTTTATCTTATTAGATATTAGGGAGCATGATTGATATCCAAACAATAACATTAATGTTTTCAATTCTCTTACTGACATATAAAAGTGTTTAAATTTACATCTATTTATTTTCTTACCCTAGATTTCAGCAATCATAACATAATTCTCTGAAATACCCACAGTTCACTTTGTTCAATTTTTCTTTAGTTACAAATTTTCTCACACATACGCCTGCTTAAATTTGCATTCATCTTACTCTAATTGTATTTTTAAAATACATTTTTTTTCAAAAAACAGTAGTAAATTATTGTGTGAAATAGTCATGATGAAGGGAATTCAAGCATTTTTAACATAATAAGTGTTATTTTCTTTATAAAATAATTCCAGATTATAAAAGCATATTTAAAACTGTTTTTGAAGGAAACTATTTCAAAGAGCAAAATCATGTGATGAGAATATTGTAAACTCAATTTTTGAAATCTAGGCCGCAGATTGTAAATACTTCTTTACATTTTTCATTTCATTATTGAATGCTATAATAATTAAGTACTGTGAATAAGGTTGCTGTGCTATGTAACAGTCAACTGAAATTGTAATCTCATTTTATTAGCTTTGCCGACATAGAGCTTCGGCACATGCAGCATGTATTCAAAATGAAGACATTTCCTGTAACTGATAGCTATTATAATTTTTAAAATTAGAAAAAGAAAAGATAAATTATGATTATATACTCACCTTTTGGTGTTTTGAAATAATCCGGCAAAATTAAAATGAATGTGATCACTATTGCTAAAAGTAATTTAAGGAGGGCTGTTTTTGTCATTTCTATTCACATGACGCATGTGTTCTCATCTAGTATATTGATGGCTTGTTTCTTCCTGCTTTAAGTTTCATTTCTGCAGTACTTTAAGTTTACGCAGTTTACCTCATACTTCCTTTTGGGTAAATCTTAAAAAAAAAAAAGAGGTCTTGAACTGAGACTTCTTCATTTTGAGGCACTTGGCATTAAGTAAAGTATCCTTGAAAAAGCACTTTCAAACTCTCTTCTAAACAAGATAAAGAAATGATCTCAAGAAGCAAAGGGGTCTGTCATCTTCTAAATTTGAAGTTATTTTCCCTTGTTTACCAATATGTATGAGTAAATATAAACCCACAATGTACTCACCAAATATAAAGTGATTGAATGTCAGCAGTGTCCAGGTCGTATGGACATTGTTCATTCACTTATTAAAATGATTGTTGACTGCTTTTAAATGCCAGACAGGCACTGTGCTAGATTCTAGGGTTCTGAAAATGGTATGTCTAGAAGACAGTGAACAGTATAAAATGTAAGAATAAACTAAGGACACATGTCAAATTTTAGTTCTATTTTACTTCCCTGTATAAAAGTAGTAGAATGAGACTCATTATCAATATGCCTATCTGCTTCTTGTTACAGAATCCACATTTTCAGTTCTCATTTCAAAGAAAGATCTTTCATTATGAAAATCCCAATGAAATAAAGTACTTTGTTTTAGAATATAAATGAAGGGTAGGGAAATTTCTTGGTGAATAAATAATATGTGCAAACAAATATTTTTATTCCTTTGTTCTTGTTTTCTGTTTTTTTAAAAAAAATGGTACCGGATATCTCCGTTTTCTCCCTGCTCACTCCCTCTTGTACTCCCACCACCAATCTGTTTTCATTTATCTAATTTCTTGTTCTTACCCACCCAACCCTGGGCTTTATGGAACAATGGGTGAGTGGGGAGTAGGAGGCAGGGATATATTTAATACATTGTGTAAATATACTGTGAGTATGTATTAATTGTCTTTCCTTCTAATTGAGTGTGGCAATTTAATAGACAGCTGGGAGTTATGGGTTAAGAGACTTTAAGACCTGAGCCTAAGAATAGTCAAAATGGGAGTAGGGCTTCAAACATGAGACTTATTTTATAAACAACATCAAGAATCATTCAAAGAGAAGAATTGATGAGAGTAATTGCTTGCACTGCTTACTGAACTGAGATATTTTGGAATACAGATCCAGCTTCGTCTTCAGTAGAGATGCTGGTGGGAAACGGTGGGAGTCCCTGGTCCTTAATTTTTCTCCATCTTACAGGTGTCACGAAGCCAGTGGACCTTCTACTTCTTATTTTGACCCTGTTTTGATTCCCTCAGCCATTCTAACTCTTATTTATGAATACGAACATTCCATCCCTATTGATGGAAATGAAATTAACCAAGAAAGTTTTTACTTTTTATAACACTATTAAGTCAGTTTAATTCCTTGATCAATTTTTCTTTAAAAGGCAGTTAAACCACTTCTATGTTTTTCAACCTGAATTTTGATTTTACTGATGTTGGTTTTAATAGTATCTATTCTTTTCTGTGAAAAACAATGCTTTGGATCATTTATTAATTCTTTTGTCCATATCAAATTTTACTGATTCGTGAGTTTCCTTTGTGGTGGTATTTCTTGCAGACCAGCTTCTCCGTTTCCCATCCCCTACCACCCAATATGACCTCGAGCTGCTTATCCTGTTCTTGAACACCTGGAAGACAAACTTCCCTAGCAGTTCCCCGGGTCCTTTGTCGGTGAGGGGCTGACTCAAGTGCTCTGCATCTGGTTTCTCTGGCACTGTACAGATGGTGGATGTCAGGAGACCAGTCTACTGGCTACTTTGAGGATATAGGAGATCAGTGTCTCACAGCTGGCCTGAAATCCACTTGCTGAACACCATTATGTCATCTCTGATTTAGTAAATCATGAGAAAATTATGATATATTCTCAGGTATGTCAGGAATCTTTTATCATTCACAATTGTTCTATTCTATTTAAATTTAATTTTTGTAAATACTTTTGATCTTTCTGACTACAGTTACTAACTGCTTAAAGTGTTAGCAGAACAATAGCTAATGACAAGTTCTGAATACCCTCTGGGTCAAATCCTCCAAGATTCAATGGCAAGGATTAAAATTAAAAAGTTAAAATATCTCATTTTTTCCGACTATCATAATTCATCTACTAAAATGTTTTATAACTGAAATTGCTGTGTAAAGTACATCATTAAATATTTTAATTTTAAACACCAACAATCACTAAAATTTAATTATTAAGCTGCAGTTTCCTGTGGGTCATCCAACTTAAATTGATAGTGTCTTAGAAATAAATAAACATAAATTGTGCTAACTCTTGATTTTATTTAACTTTTAGTTTTAATTTTGAAGCTAGAATTGAAACAACAGAATAATTGGAAACAAATAAGCCCGGCCTAGACAAGCATCTAGTGGTGTATAAAACATTTTCTTTAACAATGCTATTTGTGGCTTCGATTTATTAATGAAGAAGGACAGAGATGTAACAAGCTCTAAACCATCAAGTGTGTGACTTTGTTAGAATTTAATATGGATATTTACCCTGAGGCACTGTGGGAAGCCAAGGCAACTCCCCAGAGCTCAGAAGTGGGCAAGGGGTCTCCTTGATACCTGGTGCTCTTCCTCTGATGTGCCTCCTTGCATTTGTGCTCTCCTTTCTTTCATACTTCTGTGCCATCGCCTCTCCATCAGCCAAACATGAAGACTCTGCAGCTTATAACTTATTTCTAAAGATGTCATTTGATTGCTAATGGTCCATAGATACATCGTAATTCATTTAACCATACTCCAATTACGTAATTTAAAAGTTGTTATATAATACCTCGATATGAATATTAATACACATAAATTTTTGCATAAGTCTGATTGAGTAGAATTACTGGCACAAACAGTACAAAGATTTTTGAAGTAGTTAATTCACACACACAAAACTGTCCCCCAGAAAAGTTGTGTCAACATACACTCTACCAAAAGTGTATGAGAGTGCCTGCATATCACCAAACTAGCACTGGTCATTTTATTATTTTAACCTTTCTCAATTTGAAAGGAAAAAAAAAAAAAAAAAAACTTGTCTTTTTAATTGACATTTCTTTGATTGCTAGTAAGTCTGAACATTTCTCATATTTGCTGGCAGTCTGAATTTCTTCTCTCACGAATTGCCTGTTCATGTCTTTTATTGGATCATTCATATCCTTGTTGCTTTATAGGCCTTTTTCTCTTAAGGAATATGTGTCCTTTGCCATGTATGTTGCAAATGTTTTTTCCAGGTTGTCCTATTCCTATTTCATTTTGTGTATGGTGGGGTTATCCTCCCCAAATATTATATGACAGAATGTAAAATATGTTAGATTATGTACTTGCGTTGAGAAATTTACGCTGAGAAATACAGTTCTTCCTCACTGTATTTATATTATACCAAATAATTCACACTTTACCAAGTCGTTTATTCTAAAATGCAAATTTTACTTGCAGTCAGATTTTCGGTGTCTGGAATGCATACTAACAAAGTGGGAAGCCTGGCCATCTCCCTAAAATGGAAACATCTGACTCTCTAATAACTTGTTAGAGTTGATAATAATGGTAACGGTCCACATTTGCATAGTTCTGTTTTACAATTTCCAGAGCACCTTCACAAATATTAGATTCTAAATGGAGAATGGCTACAAATCCGCAATTACTCACCCACTATGGGTTTCTCCTTCCGACCTCAATAAAGAAATGAGAGATTAATAAATCTAAAACACAGGGGTCGTTACTATTGCATTAGTGCCTTAGTTTTAACTTTCCTAAGTCTTATATTTCATATTTCAGATTCAGGTTCTCATAATACTTTAATGTATCTATATTTCTAATCAAGACTAAAAGTCTTGACTGAATTTTTAAAATTAAAAAATCCTTCATTTCTAGGAGCTGCTCTACCAGGAAAGCAAGAGGAATGCACTTTTAAGAGATAATAAGTAAGCAGCCTTAAAATGATGGTTGTATTTAACTTCTATGTAGTGATCTCCTATTATATGAAATACATACTTGTCATATATACTTTATATGAGCAATGTATTTTCTTCTTTTTTTTTCTTATTGTAACTAGCCCCAGCCCCTTCACTATATCCTATGGAGAGATCTTTTGGGGGATAACAACAGCAATGATGGATGACATTATTGAACATTTACTATGTGCTACTGCACAGTATTGAATGTTTCATATGGATTATTTTATTCAATCCCCCATCAACTCTCTGAGGGAGTTACTAAAATTGTTATTCCAATTTTATAGGCAAAAAATGTGAAGCATAGAGAAGTCAAGTAATGACATAGTTCGTAAAGGGTAAACCTAGGCTTGGAACTCAAAGTCTGACTGAGACTCCATCCTCAAAATGTGTGATAACATTTGACAAGAAAAGTCGCTTATAAAATAATAATGGCAAATACAAATATAGCCCTTACTATGTGCCAGACACTGTTCTAACTCAGGGTATCTCACAGGTGGCCTAGATAATTACTGACATTTTGGTCTAGATAATTCTTTGTTTCTAGGGGGCTGTCCTGTGCATTGTAGGATGTTTAGCAGCAGACGCCAGCAGCAACAAAAGAAAATGTCTCCAGAGATAACTAGATGTTCCTGTGGGGGCAGAATAGCTCCCAGTTGAGAACCACTGAGCTGAACACTTCATTTACATTAAGTCTTTTAATCCTCAAAACAACCCTAGGAAATAGTTACTATCATTATTTCCATTTGACTCACTTAAGAACAGTTCTAGTCTAGGTAACCTAATCATCCAGAAAGTGACTTTAAAAGACGATTCATAACCTGAATCAGCCTAATAACTTTTAATTGTGTTACTTGCAGAAAAACCATCTACTTTGGCAGCACGGTGGTGCTTGGATTAACAAACACATTTTGTGGGGGGAAATCATCTCTTGTTTCTGAGGTCTGCCGACATATGGAGAGGATTTGGGGAATTTCCAATGTCCTCATTCATTTTGTAGCT